CTCAGATGGGTCATGTGGGTAGGTTATATGGTCTCTAAATCTGTATACCTCAGCAAATATCTTTCTTTTACCCTAACTAAAATCCTTGACTAGGTAAAAGATCTCAGACTTCAGTCCTTTTGTCTTCATAGTCTGTAGAAACCATGTACTAGTGTAGTGTTGACATGGAAGGTTCTGTGCCAGTCTGTTTTTTTTTTTTTTTTTTTTTTTTTTTGCCAGAATTTTCTAAGAATTCCATTTTATGCTTGTTGTTTAGTAATTTTTACAGAATGTGCCTACGTGTATCTTTCCTCATCGGATGTGCCTCAATCTTTAACTGCCGTTTCAATTCGTAGATTTTGGTCCTTCCTCACCTTGGACAATTTTTCTTCTGTTATTTGCAAACGTATTCTTTTTGCCTCTCTTTCTCTTCCTACACACCTATTAGCCACTTGTTATGTCTCTTAGATTTCTCTCTCCTCCTTTTTTCCCTTATCCCCTTGTTCTCCTCTCTGTGTGTATGTACCCACACACATGTGTAGATGTGTGTCTGTAAGGGGGGCTTTGAGATATTTCTTCCATATGGTCTTTAAGCCACTAACCTGGGCCTCAACAGTGGCCGTACTTTAATTACTCCGAAGTTGTTTTGTTCTCAAGTCACAGAGTATTATTTCCCACCACACGTGGATGTCCTTGGGGCTCATATTGTGTACAAGCTCTAGTCCCCATCTTCCTCAGTAGTCATACCATCACATGCCCGTTGTGTTCGAGCATCTTTTCTCTTATTGCTGGGTCCCCTTAAGGTGCTGATATTTGATTTTATTGGATTGTTGTAGGCTTCTGCCTTTCCCTCATGGACTGGAGGTGCACCCAGTTACTATTAGACCATTTACTAGTACACTGGAGCAACAGGAGAACACTTCTCCCCTTCCATACTTCACATTCCTAGCCCTAGGCCTAGGGAGGCTGTCTCACCTCCCGAATCTTGGAGAGCAGGGAGCACTGAGACACTCATGTGGGGCAAATGATGTCTCTACAGGCACCTAGACTCTCCCAGAGCCTGACTCTACTGGTAATCAAGTACCCTTCACTTGGCTTGGGAGAATTGAGTAGATTGGAGCTGAGAATGAAAGAAAAGGCAATCTTGGGTTAACTTCTTTCCAGAATTCCCCTTCTTTCTCCAGCTTTAACATAAGAGAACAGTCATGTGGAGAGAATTGCCCGAGCTCAAAAAGAATGATACAGGTTCTAGACATTACCTGGACTAGCAAACTGTGTGACCGTCAACACATCACTTAGTTTCTTTGGGCTTCATTATCCTCACTTATAAATTAGGAAATTGGTAGACTATTGATGTCTAAAGTATCTTGCAGCTATGACATTCTCAGTATGCATGAAATCTCAGTATCCTGAGGCTTCTCCAGTAAACCAGTTGCCATTGACTTCACTCCAACTCATGGTGACCCTATGTGTGTCAGGGTAGAACTATGCTCCATAGGGTTTTCAAAGGCTGATTTTTTGGAAGTATATTGCCAGGCCTTTCTTTGGAGGCACCTCTGTGTGGGCTTGAACCTCCAGTCTTTCAGTTAGTAGCTGAATATGTTAAATGTTTGTACCATCCAGGGACTTGGAGGGTTCCACACTTACCTGTTAATTTCCTTCTCAGTATGATGAAGGAGTAAAATTCAGTGGTTTCCAATCCTGAGGATTCCTTAAAGGAGGGGAAGAGAGAGATTAGAGGAGATGTTTAGCTTAAGTGTTGATTTGAACAAAGAATCCAACACCTAAAACAAGTTCGAAAGCCACTAGCAAGTTCTACATAATCCCCATAATTAATTTTATTGAGCATTATTTTCTTCGAATTTCTTTCATTATTTTACTTTTTTGCTTCACCTTGTAACTCAGCATTTCATTCTCCTTACTATTTGTTTTGGGTCAACAAACTCAGGCATCACGCATAGTCCCCACTTTCCTGAGACTGAAGGGACATCCTGGATTAAGCAACTTCTTCAAGGTCACAAAGGGGCAAAGCTACGTCTCTATTCTTGGAGTGCAGCCTTCTCCACAAGACCACACTGTCTGTCATAAGATTTTTGCAAACATCGTGAAAAATTGGTTTAAAGGAGGTCAGCATGTCTGAGCCAGTATCTTCAAGGTGACTTATTTAAGTTTGAAATGTTGGCTAATGTTCTTCACGAGAAAGGACAAGTTTTTAAGTTACTGATGTTTAAAAGCCAAAGGGCTTCTGTTGTTTCTTTATTTAAAAATGATGAGTAACTTTTAACTCAGATGCACTAGGCCTCAAAGCACATCTTTGCATAGAGTAGTGTTTCCTATCTTTGGAGGTTATTACATTTTGACAGTCTTAGCAAAAAGTGGGTGGACAGGGAGGTAAGACACTGAAACAGGAGATTTGATAGAAGTTCTACCTCAAGCCCAAGTGTAGAGTTCATTACAGTAAGCACTATAATTACAAATTTTAAGAGTCCTTGGTGTAAATAATTAGCACATACTAAAAGTAAAAATAAGTCTTATTTAATGACAGTCTCACAGTATTTGTAGATTTTGGAGTTTCTATTTTCATTCATGTTTGAACATTCTGGTCTTCTTTGTTTTAAATCTCATAAAAATAACAGTGGGAATCAATCTAAGGCATGGAGCCAGAAATACAGATAGATTAGAAGGTCTCTTATATTTCACTCGTACTAAATATAGTCTATTAATTTACAGCAAAAATAAATGTATTTGTTTAAAAATACTGGCCCACTAATGATGAGGTCTCATAGACTACACAAAGCGCTTAAGCCCTTTATCTGCATGAAAGGGAAAAATACAAATGCTAGCAACTCACTGTGTGATGGCCATGAGTCTGGACTCTAGAAATCTGGGCCATTCAAACACCATTCTGCCTTCAAGGGTATGTGACAGGCATAAAGTGTACTCCTTGGAGGAGTGCTAAAGCTGACACAGAAGCTGATGCTGGTGTCACTTTGTCTGCTGAAGAGCCACAAAGCTCCACAGTGTGAGCGCCCCTCGCATCAGGTATCTGAGACCCCCACAGCCAAGCTGTCCTTTTCTGTAGTCAATTTGAAATTCATAGAGACCTCAAAATCAGCAAATCAGCAGTTTTTCTTCTTTCCTCTTCTTCTGTCTTTCTCTCTTCTCCTCCCCCTCCTTCTTTTTTTAATAAGGGAGTTCTAATTGTTGTTTACATTTACAACTTCCTGATGCACTCACATGACATTCAGCATAGGGATACTTGATTCATGATGACACTGCCTCCAAGCTCTGGGGTGCAGAGTAATTCAGTTGCTTTTGAAGGGTACCAAAAGGTCACCAGTTCGAATCCACCAGCTGCTTCTTGGAAACTCTATGTGGCAGTTCTGCCCTGCCCTATAGGGTCACTGTGAGTTGGAATCAACTCAACAGCAACAGGTTTGGGTTTTTTGGGTTTCACTTTGGACAACCTTTATTAGCACACTCTGTTAAAGGAAACCTTGATGCATGGCATGGGGTACAATTCCTAATCCATTCACCAGTACACAGGGGTCGTGGAATTTAGCTGCATCAGGCCAGCTACAGGCTGGAGCTCATTTCTGCTATTAGCTTTAAAAAGGCCAGTTGCTGTCTAGTTGATTCTGACTCATGATGACCTCATGTATGTCAGACTAAAATTCTACTCCATAGGGTTCTCAATGGCTTTGATCTTTTGGAAGTAGATTGCCAGGCCTTTCTTCTGAAGTTCCTCTAAGTGGACCTGAACCTCCAACCTTTCGTTGAGCAGCTAAGCATGTTAACTGTTTGTACCACCCAGGGACTGCACTGTTGGGCTTAACAAAGGCATATCAGCTCCCTCCTCCTTAACATCCAAGGAGGCTCCAAAGCTTTAGAATATTGATTCATCATTTTCTCTAAGGTTAAATTGTGTGAATCACTGCTCTGCATCCACATTTCTTCCATTCTTTCTTCCCAATCACTGGACCCTTTCTATACTATTATTATTAACAGTGCATTCTTAGGCAAGCAAGCTAAGACTTTGCCATTTCAGGAGGCGTGGGGGTCATTAAAGCAAATGACTTTCTTGCCTGCCTGGCCCCTGAAGGCATTTGAGTTTGTAGCCAAATTGCAAAGAGCTTAAAAATCAGTAAAAGAAGACCTATTCTCTTTCATGATAAGAAGGTGAAGTCTATACAAAGTCTATACAAAACTCAAAAGGTGGGGGATAAAGTTGCAATTCATTTACCTGGGATAATGTAATGATTATGACCTTCAATTATTGGGAGTCTCCTTGAGATTAAAATTTACTATAAAAATAAACCTACTTTATTGAAAATCTTGTAAGGAAAACCTTTCAGTTTTTATTTTCTTTTTGTTAAGAATTATAAATTGCTGGAGAGAATATTAGTCAAATTCAGTAACACAAGTTTTAAACAAGAAGGTGAATTCAGACAAATCATGGGTCAATAACCATGATTTACCCCACAATGGTAAATACTTAAAGAATACTTACTATTACTTCCTTTAACCCTCCCAAAAACCTTCTGAAGTAGATACTAATTTTGTCTGCATTTTACAAAGGAAGAAACTGGAGATTAATGAGATTAAGAAACGGCAGTTTGTAAATTGGAAAACCAGCTGGAATCCAAGTCTCTCTGGGCCAAAACACAACTGTTTAATATTCTCTACTGCCTCTTTATATGTAAATAACTCTAGAGTTCATGAGAAAGTAAAAAAAGGATGATTTGCATTGTAGCCTTGAAATTATTATTGTAATAATTGTTGAATTACAGAGCAATTCTGAGAGAAAAGAGGTAATGTAATCTGTGTTTGTGCTGCTGCTCTATTTATATAAACTCTTTTGAAAGAATTTCATACAGCCTCCGTGAATACCAATTGTTGGAATGCTTGCTTTTTAAAATTTGAATGAATATATTTAATTTTTAATGACTTTATTTCTACCTATTGAAAATGGTCAACATTTAGGTTTTCTGACTTTCTTTGTTTCTGAATATCTTTTCTAGGGTCAGCGCCTTTTTGAAAAGTTGCTCCAACTGACTTCGCAAAATATTGAAATCAAGCTAGTGAGTGATGTAACAGCTGATTCAAAGGTATTAGAAGCCTTGAAATTAAAGGGTAAGGCCAAGGTTGATATGTTACTCTACACTGGGTATTCTATTAGGATACCTTTAATTTCACTTAAAATAATACATAATTTCTTTATAATCAAAATATTTCACTTAGTACGCTTCTTATTTCTCCTTTGAACAATAGCCTGATTAAAACTTTTAAATGAGAGAATTCATTAATCAATACAACTGAGATTTTTAAAATAGTGTTAGTGCATATTGAAAAAAAAAAAAAAAAACCTGTTGCCATTGAGTCAATCAATTGTGACTCATAGGGACCCATAGGACAGAGTAGAACTGCCCCATCGGCTTTCCAAGGAGCAGCTGGTGGATTCAAACTGCTGGCCGTTTGGTTAGCAGCCTGACCTCTTAACCATTCGCCACCAGGGCTCCTGTTGCATACTAGTTTATGCAAAATATTTTACTGGTCATTAGGTATCATTAACTCAAAGGAATAATCTTTCCCTCTCTGAACACTTCAACGATATGATTAGAGAAAATAGCCACTTCTCATCGGAACAAACATTGGATTTCTGTTGTTCTCTTGCACATCAAATGAAAATCCTCTTCTTGCAACATAGTTTTTTAAAATAATATAGTCAGGTCTAGACATCTATGAAGCACTGCTTGATTCTCAACTTCTAAGCAATTCCATGGGAGGGCATCATTTATATGGGCAGTTTGTAATTCCCATCACAATGTCTTGAAGACTGAGAATAACTATGAAATAATATTCTTCATTTTGCTGTAACTGCCAGTAACTGAGCTCTCACTTCTGAATAGTTTTTAATCTATTTGTAAACATTTTTACCCCGAGTTTACTATCTGGGCTGGAACCCACCATAAGGAATCAAGCAGCCCCAGGGACAAGGAGCTGGCTTTGGCTCTCACTGCTTCACACATGATATCACCTCTCACACTTGTGTTGTCTAAACCTACTATACATTACAAAAAATTAATGTGCTAAAAATGTATATAACAAAACATTTGCCAATTCAAAGATTTTTACATACCATTCAGTGCAGTTGGTTACTTTCATTATGTTGTGCAACAACCATCACCACTGGCCCTTTCCAAATTATTCCATCACCATTAACAGAAGCTCAGTGCCCCCCCAAAAAATGCCCCCCTTTCCCCTCTCACTCTACCCCTGGTAACAACTAATAAGCTTTGGTCTGTATACATTTGCCTATTTCATTTAAGTGGGATCAGACAATATTTGTCCTTTTCTGCTTACTGTACATTTTCGCTGGTTATCTTCCCCACATTATTAAGTGAAACAACCTTCTTAAAAATGGATCAATTTCCAAAGGAAATAGGTGAGCCTGAGAAGAATTTTCTCCTGAAGAAGAAAAGTTGGAAGTGATAAATCATGTTGAGAGACATAAATGTACAGAAGACCTAAGCTGGTCCATGCACATGTACCCATGACCATGCGTATTGTTGTTTCTATGCATAAGAAAATTGATGAGAATGTTTCTGGGTCTGAAAAGTTTCACTACACTGTTTGAGCATGATGTAATATTTTTTATAAACTAGAGAAATGCTATTTCAGTGTATTGACAGATAAAATCAGCATAAGTTAGAAATGTGTTATGACTTTTCTGATTTAAAAAAAAGTGAAATTGGGTTCCCAGTATCTGAAAGTTTGTTACGCAGCACAGTTTTAGGAATGGATTAGTTTTGGTTGACTGACAAGATCAAACCCGTTGCCGTTGAGTCGATTCCGACTCATAGTGACCCCATAGAGAAGAGTAGAAATGCCCCATAGGGTTTCCAAGGAGTGACTGGTGAATTCGAACTGCCGATCTTTTGTTAGCAGCCGAGCTCTTAACCACTATGCCACCAAGGTCCCTGAGGATGCCTGTATTTACAGATGATTTTTCTCATGGAGTATACTTGCAACTCTTTGGGGTATGATTTTTCAGGAAGGATAAAAAGCAGATGAGTTAGGAAGAGAGTAGGGAGCCTGAGAAGTCTATTTCTTCTTGTTTGTATATCCACAGATCTATTCCTTACCATAGCCCATACTTAGTCTTATAAACTCAACCAAAAGTTGAAACTAGGGGGCATAACAGATGTTCTCAGATGCTGCTGAATATTTGGCTAACCTAAACAGGGAATGGAGTCCCTGGGTGGTACAAACAGTTAACATCCTTAGCTGCTAACTGAAGCACTGGAGATTTGAGTCCATACAGAGGCACCTCACAAGAAAGGCCTGGCAATCTACTTCCAAAAAATCAGCCATTGGAAACCCAATGGAGCACAGTTCTACTGTGACACATCAGATCACCATAAATCAGAATTGACTTGACGGCGATTGGGTGGTAAACAGGGAATAGCTATTAACAAATTTGTGGATAAAGGCTATGTTTACATTTATATTTTAAACTATGAATTAAAGTTTCATAACTTTAAGATGAAGTAAAAGCTGGACAGAAGATTTCAAAGGGCTGCTCAAGAAGAGAAAGTAAAGTATTATATTGACATTTGCAAAGACCTGGAATTAGAAAACCAAAAGGGAAGAACATGCTCTGCATTCCTCAAGCTGAAAGACCTGAAGAAAAAATTCAAGCCTCAAGTTGCAATAGTGAAGGATTCTATGGCAAAATATTGAATGATGCAGTAAACATCAAAAGAAAATGGAAGGAATACGGAGAGTCACAGTACCAAAATTAATTGACTGACATTCAGTCATTTCAGGAGGCAGCATATAATCAAGAACTGATGGTACTGAAGGAAGAGGCCCAAGCTGCACTGAAGACATTGGTCAAAAGAAAGTTTCCAGGAATTGACAGAATACCAACTGAGATGTTTCAACAAATGGATGCAGCGCTGGAAGCGCCCACTCATCTATGCCAAGAAATTTGGAAGACAGCTACATGGCCAACTGACTGGAAAGGATCCATATTTATGCCTATTCCAAAAACAGGTGGTTCAACATAATGTGTAAATCATCTAACAATATCATTAATATCACACACAAGTAAAATTTTGCTGAAGGTCATTCAAAAGCGATTGCAGCAGTACACCAACAAGGAACTGCCAGAAATTCAAGCTGGATCCAGAAGAGGGCATGGAATGAGGGATATCATTGCTGATGACAGATGGATCCTGGCTGAAAGAAAGATGTTTACCTGTGTTTTATTGACTATACAAAGGAATTTGACTGAGCAGATCATAACAAATTATAGATAACATTTCAAAGAATGGGAATTCCAGAACACTTAATTGTGCTCATGAAGAACCTGTACGTAGATCAAGAGGCAGTCGTTCGAAACAGAACAAGGGAATACTGCATGGTTTACAGTCAGGAAAGGTGTGCGTCAGGGTTGTATCCTTTCACTATACCTATTCAATCTGTACGCTGAGCAAATAATCCGAGAAGCTGGACTATATGAAGAAGAACGAGGCATCAGGATTGGAGGAAGACTCATTAACCACCTGTGTTATGCAGATGACACAACCTTGCTTGCTGATAGTGAAGAGGACTTGAAGCACTTACTGATGAAGATCAAAGATCACAGCCTTCAGTATGGATTACACCTCAACATAAAGAAAACAAAAATCCTCACAATGGGACCAATAAGCAACATCATGATAAATAGAGAAGATTGAAGTTGTCAAGGATTTAATTTTACTTGGATCCACAATTAACACCCATGGAAGCAGCAGCCAAGAAATCAAAAGACACATTGCATTGGGCAAATCTGCTACAAAAGACCTCTTTAAACTGTTAAAAAGCAAGAATGTCACTTTAAGAACTAAGGTAAGCCTGGCCCAAGCCATGGTGTTTTCAGTTGCCTCATATGCAAGCGAAAGCTGAGCAATGAATAAGGAAGACAGGAGAAGAACTAATGCCTTTGAATTAGGGTGTTGGCGAAGAATATTGAATATACCACGGGCTACCAAAAGAACGAACAAATCTGTCTTGGAAGAAGTACAGCCAGAATGATCCTTAGAAGCAAGAATGGCGACACTTGGTCTCACATACTTTGGACATGTTATCAGGAAGGACCAGTCCCTGGAGAAGGACATCATGCTTGGTAAAGTAGAGGGTCAGTGAAAAAGAGGAAGACCCTCAACAAGATGAACTGACACAGTGGCTGTAACAGTGGGCTCAAGCATAACAATGATCATGAGAATGGCGCAGGACCAAGCAGTGCTTTGTTGTTGTAAATAGGGTCACTATGAGTCAGAACTGACTTGTCAACACCTAACAACAACAACATCTTCATGATAGTTATTGCTTTTCACAAAAGGAAGTGTTTGAATTTCACAAGCATATGTGTATATTAGTAACAACTTAGGCTGTGCTTTTCTCAATTGTAATTGTCATACTATGGGGACTTGCATGTTGCTGTGGGGCTGGAAGCTATCTATGTTACCAGTATTCAAATACCAGCAGTGTCACCCATGGTGGACAGGTTTCGGCTTAGCTTCCAGACTAAGACAGACTAGAAAGAAGGACTTGGCAGTCTACTTCTGAAAAGAATTAGCCAGTGAAAACCTTATGAATAGTGGTGGAATATTGTCTGATATATTGCTGGAAGATGAGCACCTCAGGTTGGAAGGCACTCAAAATAAAACGGGGGAAGAGCTGCCTCCTCAAAGTGGAGTGAACCTTAATGACGTGTATAGAGTCAAGCTTTCGGGACCTTCATTTGCTGATGTGGCACAACTCAAAATGAGAAGAAACAGCTGCAAACATCCATTAATAATCGGAATGTGGAATGTACAAAGTTTGAATCTAGGAAAATTGGAAATCATCAAAAATGAAATGGAACACATAAACATCAATATCGTAGGCATTAGCGAGCTGAAATGGATTAGTATTGGCCATTTTGAATCGGACAATCATATGGTCCGCTATGCCGGAAATGACAACTTGAAGAGGAACGATGTTGCATTTATCATCACAAGGAACATATATAGTAGGAGTTCTTATAAAATATAATAAAACAAAAGATTTTCCTTTATAATAGTAGAACAATAAATGGGACCCTA